GCATTACTTGATTAAACAATGCTAGTAAAGAATGACCTGCTATCCAGAAATCCTTATACAAAAGAAATGTTTTAAGTTTTCATGGTTCAGCGGACTTCACATCTGTTTCATGGTATATAGGCCATGTTTCAATCTCATATTGATTGCAGTACCACTAGTTGACCGGCCATTTTTAATAACATTGCATTCAAGCCGATCAGAATTCGTATTGTGAAATGAAAGTCAGATTACAAAGTTAAAGAGAGAAAATACAATAAAAAGACTTAACTTGCAGCATGACTTACTATTGCAACTTGAGTATCCGTATGAACTTCCTTCCCTTTCTTTGTACGAGTTGTAATAAACATTTCAGACTTTGATGGTTCCTCGTTGTTCTCTTTGGTTGCGCGCTACGAATTACATCAAAGAAGATATAAAAAACATCACTGTGTTCCGACAAAGTACAAAAAGAAATAAAAGTCAGATTACAAAGTGTCGACTAAATATTACCAATGCCACACGCACTCTTGCAAAATTAATAGGTCCCATTCGATGCCTCCACTTTTGTTTTTTCCTATTTTCAGAATTTAATTGGCACATAGCCTAACAACAAAAGAAGCATATTAATTAATAAATCAAAAAGGAAAAAATATATACTGCAACAATAGGTATAAAATATAGAAATGCACGGTGTAATCTTACTTGGACATCTTCATCATCCCAATACTCAATCAATTGACGGAATTGAACTTCAGGTATCTCATTGGGACGATTTTGTAGAATTTCGTCAATAGTAGAATTTTTATCAAAATATTTCTTCTTAATATTTCTCTTGTGTCGCTTCCAAGCATCACGAAGACCAGTCATTACCCACTTCTCTCCTTCAGCTAGAATTAAGAACTTGGATTGTGCAAAATAACACACAAACACACACACACACACACACACACGCATATATATATCTTTTCTTAGAAGGAAAAATACAAAAAATATATAATTGAAAATTAATTATTCTTACATTGACATATTCCCACATTCGTTGCTTAATATCCTTTGACACAGCATGCCAACTGGTATGCACCAAGGGTATAAATCTTGAATTCCTTGCAATTGTTCCTAAAAAGTTGGTCAAATCAAACACTCTCTTGTCAGTTGGACCAACTGCTTGTCCTTTATGATATGTCACCTCCTCTCTTTCTTCAAAACTTCTTGCATGAATATTCTTACATGTTGTTTTTTCTCGAACTCTTTTCTTCTCTGATGTCCCTAGATTGATATAACAAGCAAGACATAAGAAGAAAAAATTAAAATATGTAAAATAATTATAAGGTTTAAGACATACCACCTGCAGCACCATCGATGTTCATATCCTCATCTCCAATAAATTCATCATCACCAACTTCATCTTGTGCAGCAAAATTATCCAATTCTATTTCACGCTCATCAATAATAGGAGAGGACATAAATCTGACTTCATTTTCTGGGTGATTATCAGGATGTTTTTCACCACCGACTTGTATCCCATATTTTTTTAGAAACTGATTAACACTCGTCGACGGTAGGACTGAGTTTGTCTTTACCTTTTTGCAATTTTGTAGCTCTTGAATATCAAGTTGTTTCTCTCCTTCACCTTGTGTTCTTCTAATCATATGTAAAGTGTTAGGATCTACCTTTGCAGATGATTGGATCATGGATGTGGGCACAGGTAATTTACTCATTCCTTTCTTTTGAATGGGCTCCTCCAATTGCATTGACCTTTGTTTAATTTTTACTTTACTAGCAATATTATGTGAAGTGTTCAGATCTTCCCTTGAAGACGATTGGATTGATTTGTACACCGGTAATCTATTCCTTCCTAACTTTTGAACTGACACATCCGATTGAGTTAACCTCTGTCTACTTTGTCCTTCTAATGTTGCAGGTATATAATTCTTCCTTTTAACTCCAAATAATGCCTGCTCTTTAGCAGCTTTATCGTTGCAATCACTTGCAAGCTTTTCTCTCTTAATCTGAAATTTTTTGGCTAGTTCGGCACTTAATCGGTATTGGAAATCGAAGCCTATATTCTTCATTGGACTTTGAGCTTTGTTTGGATTCGGAACTTTTCTCTTAAGAGTTGCCGCTTGATTCATCCTACATACAAAAAAATTAAATTACTTTAACCTAACAACTAGTAAGAATATATAACAGTATGTGAGAGGCAGCAGGTACAAGTTGGAAATAAATTTGCAATGTTAAAGGTTGAAGAAGTTATGGAGGATGCTGAAAAACAGAATCACTTGAATGATAATAATGTTGAGGCTCAAAAGTCAGTACATTATAAGCAATTAGCAATTGTAGCAGAAGTACAGGAAGTGGTTCAAACAATGGGAATACAGAAGGAACGTAATGAAGTGTTATTTTCAGGGCCCTAAACGATTAACAACAAACCTGTCATTCAGGAACGTAATGAAGTGTTATCTTCATCTTCTCATCTTCTTTTTCACAGTTTACAACATAAAACAAGATCCAAGACCCAAGCCAATTTTTCAATGGAAGACACAATTACAACTCCTAATTACATCTCACAACAACAGAAATTAACCTTTAATGTTCCAGCAAACCATGCAGATTCTAGCAGTAAGTTTTATTATCATTTTCCTTTAAAGCTATGCTAGTTCTGATATTTCTAGTTGTACTTCCACTTTTTCCTTTGGAAGCTCCTGAAATTATCAGCAAATCTCTACATACTGGAAGTTGGGAAATTCTTCAGCTTATATTAGTTGGTATAGCTGTTTCTTATGGCTTATTTAGCAAAAAAAGTGATGACGAGTCAAAAAATGAATATCATAGTGATTCAAAGTTTGATAATGTTAAATCTAGATTACTTGAGGTTTCATCTTTTTTTGATGATGAGGCCGAAAACCATTGTTTGTCTGATGAAAACAGAGTAGAGACTTTGAATAATTATCAGTACCATAGTGGTAAGCCAGTAGTAGTTCAAGAAAAACACAAAGCTATAATTAGTTCAAGAATTGATGAAAAGCCTTTGCTTTTACCAATTCAGAGTTTGAAATCTCCTATTGTTGAGACTATCTCAACTACTTCACCAAAATCTCTTTCACCTTCACAATCCAAAGTTTCATCTCCAAGAAAGTTGCCATTTTCATCAGAATCTGAAGCCAATATTGCTGACAATATTGTGAGGAAAAAGAGTTTTCTTAAATCCTCTCCGCCCGGGTGGCAATGGTGTACTAACTATACAGCCGTGAGTAGAGGCAGAATTTGGCAAGGAAAATGGAGCAGTACAACTACTATCCTTAGGAATGTAATAGTCAGTCTTATATGTGATAGGTAGTTGAGTAGATGAATGTAGAATTGCTGAAACTGGGATCTATATTCAGGTTCAATTTAGTTTGTGTTGTACATATGTTCTTTGGTACTAAAATTCCTTTATTTACCAAAAAAAAAAAAGAAGGAACAGGAAACAACCTCAATTATGTGGCTCCAATGATTAACCCTACAATAGATAATAATGCACAACAGGTGAGTAAGAAAATAGAACCAAAGGAAAGAAGGGCATATGAACAGTTAAATAAGGAAACTACTTTTCAATGGGTACAAAGAGCCTTTGTTGGCAACATAGTGGCAACAAATAATTCCTGCAAGGCCAATGCAAAAAAGAACTCTGAAGAGCAGGGCCTAAGCATAACTGTGGAGGATGCCAACAATAAGCAATCTGTGGAATAAGGTACTGTGGGAACTCAAAGTGCTGCACTAATTTTGAAAGATTTGGAGACCAATATGATTGATCTAGGAGGATGCTGAATCTTTTCCCTATCTCAATCAATCTTATTGGTATAAACTAGTTAGTGTTATTGATGCTCATGATTCTCTTGATATAAGAAGGTTATGGAAATTGTTGGACTTAGCCCGAAAGAACAGGAAGCAATTTTAGAATTCTAGTGAAAATCGTTTCATAGATTATTAATCTATAAGCATGCCGAGAGCAAGTATATGTAATAAATTAAGTCTACGACCATAGCAAAGATGGCTCAAAGATAGAGGATCCATGTAACATATATGAATACAGAACACAAGGGGAAGCTGGTTCATCCACAAATTGGCATCTATACCTAAATCATACAAGTAACTCTAGGGCTATCATACTTTTTGTCCCTCTTCCAGTTCTATCTTATAATTAAAATGAAATTTCATCAGGATTAGGACAGACAATATACAAATTTTTAATAATAACTAATAAGTAACAACCCTTCAAGGAGCTAAAGATAAAACAAGCAACACATGATAAATGACCACAAAATCCCAACATAAAGTCAAAAAAACAGATTAACAGATGAAGTTCTCAAGGTATATCACGTTTTCCAGATAATATTTTCAAATCGGCATTCATAACCCTCCTCTGATAACAAAATCTAACAAGAAATGAACTCTAACAAGACAACTGAGAGCCCTTACCCAACAAATTCTCTTGGTTCCACAGGATATATAAAGATATGTAGATAAACAATTCCAGAGCATATATAAATAAACAAAGTTACAAAGATACCTGTTCAATATCTCTTGGTTCCTTAAAATTTGTTAGTCCAATATCTTCTTAGTTGCATGTACACCACCTGATAATAATAAAAAAAAAATATGTATATACGTTAAAACTTGCTCCAATACTCCAGGTAATAGGACAATACAAATTCCGAAGCATAATTTCTACTTACTCACGTTCACTTCTCTATTCAAAACTAGAGGAAATTCTCGATCCACATATGAACAATATGGTTCCTCAGAAGGGACACATTGAATAACCAATCAAGTAATTTCTAGTGATACGAAAAGGGACACATTGAAAATACATGAGTAGAAAATATATGTGCACATCAAAGAAATCTATCTGCAAAAAAATATTTAATATTGAACTTGACAAAATAGAAAACATCAATTTAAATCTAAAGCAACAATTTTTAATGTTTCTAGCTATTAATAAAAAATGGCTAAGCTATTTTCTATTTGAATTAGAATAAAACTCATGATATGTCTTCAAAATCAAACTCTTCATCCGATTCAATTTCAAGTTGTTGTGCTAGAAATCCTTCTGGAGGCACATCAAGAATGGTTGTTGGAACATCACTCCTTACTAAGGTAACTTCACCATTATCCTCCAGTATAGATGGGCCAGCCAAATATTCAGATGGCTCATTTTCATAACACTGTGGGGCATTAGATTCAAGTTCATCACTTATGCTAAACAAGTCTCTCGGGACGGTCTTCATGACATAATATTTATCTTGATCATATGGATCTTGCACATAGAAGCATTGGTGTACTTGGGATGCTAGGACAAAAGGCTCGTTCTGATAACATTTCTTGTTGAAGTAGACATAAGTAAGGCAATAAATATTGATGATAGGCTGTAATTGCATATTTTAGTCGCTTATTACACTCGAATTTACTGCACTTTAATTGAGTTTGCGCTTTAATCGCTAGTGTTTAGCACTAATTGTGTGTTTTATGCCTTGTAGGTGTGATTCCGAGCTATATAGATGTTATGGAATGAATTTAAGTGATTTGACGCTTTGAAGTCTGAGTAAAAGCTCAAGGAATTAAGCCGGGATCGTGTTCGGAGGACAAATTTGATAATTAAGTACGAACGAAGACTTGAGGAGGCATATTGTGCACTGTCTAGTAAAATAGACATAACTCTTTGCTCAGAACTCCATTTGAGCTCCACAATATATAGTTGGAAAGCTAACTCAAAGGGCTACAACTTTTATGTTTTACGTTTTTCCAAATTCCAAAGGAACAGGGTGAAAAATCGCGGTTTTGCCGCAACCGCGGCAGAACCGCGGTAGAAGATGGTCGCGGACAACTGAAGAATCAGAGGGCATGTTTGGCCGCGGTTCCACCGCGACCGCGGCAAAACCGCGGCAGGAAGCGAAAATTTCAGGGACTAATGCAAAACATGAGATTTTAAGTCCTAAAACCTATATTAAACAAAGGAGGCCGGCCAAGAACAAGAAGAGGACATATTTTTGACACAAATTAGACCTAAGGAGGAGGAGAGACAATACTTTAGGGTTAGACAACACCCTTGGAGGCAAGAACACATTGGGAGCAAGGCGGAGAATTCTTCTACGAGTTTTTTCCTTCCTCTTCCTATTTTTCATTGTTGGTTATGACTTTTAGTATTGTAGTTTTACATACTATTATGAATAGCTAATTTGTTATCTAGAGTTTTGATAGAACCTTTTGTAGGATAAATTCTTGTTATGTTTTTATATAATTGAGCCATAGCTTTTCTCTATTTGTTCAACTACGTTTATATTCTGGTTGATTGATGAGCTCTCAATTAGCTGTGCCTATTTAGTATGTATAACTCGGGAGAGAGTGCATATTTAGGTAGTTGTTAAACAACACCACTCCCAAAGTATATGAGGGATCAATAACCGAGAGTTTAAAGGCGGGATTAGGGATAACGAAGCCTTGGGTGCGATCTGAAGTGAGCTGTATTAAAAGCCAGCTAGCGTAGCTCGGGAGAGCGCGTCTAGTAAATTGTCTCGGGAGAGCGCGTCTAGTAAATTGTCGTAATTACTCGGGAGAGATTTACGGTAATAAGAGTGCTCATGATCGGTAGAGAATACTTAGGCGAAATTATAGAAGACATAGCGGGAAGGATTCCGACAATAGGGGAAATCATAACTCTAGACCTCCTTAATCTTTTCTCTAACCCTCAGTATCTTTAGTTGTTAATTTACTATTTTAATTTGTTAGTTAATTAGTTAAACATAAGAATCTTAATATCTATAAGTTAGGAATTGTTCAAGCTTGTCTTCTTGGTGATAGTGAACAGTTGTAGCTAAACCTTAGTTCTCTGTGGGATTCGACTCCGGACTTGTAAACCGGATTATATTTGCAGCGACCGCATTGTCCTTTTTATAAGGCATAGTTGGGCGTGATCAAATATCTTCTTCAACCTCATACCAGTCGCACTTAAGTAAGACAACCCTAAAATGGCCATAATAGTCTAACTCAACTATATCAACTATTCTACCATAATATGTCATGTTTGCGTCAATTGAATTTTTATCTTTTGAGCTTGCAAAACTTGTAGTTAGGGCGACTAATGTAACGCCACTATTTTGTGTTTTACGTCTTGCATCACGCTGCCTCGTATGGAATCTATATCCATTAATGAGATACCCAGAATATCTTTTAGCAATTGAATTTGGTCCGAAGGATAATTGCTTTATAAGATCGGGCACATCCTCTTTCAAAGAACGAGTTTCAAACCATTGAGAGAAGTTTTGACTATGTTTCTTGGACTTGCTCCATTAGATCCTCGTCTCTGATTACTAACCTCAACCTCATATTCTCTACACAATAAGTATTTTTATTTGTTAGTAAAATGATAAATAAAGTAATTTAATAACAATCTACATAAATAAATACTATAAGTGATTAAATTACCTTATATATTCTTGAACTTCATCACAATTGTTCAATAAGTATATATGTGCCTGATTTAGTGACATGTCATCTAAAACAATTGGATCACTCTTTTTCGCTCCTAAAGGACAACCTGTATTAGGGAACAAACTAGAAGATTGTGCATTAATTGAATCATATTCATCATTGTTTCGGGGTCGTCGATTAAATCGAGTCTTTACACCTCCATGTAAGTACCTAGAGCATAAAGTCAAACACTCTTCAACCAAATATGCCTCAGCAATAGATCCTTCTGGATAATTTCTGTTGCGAACATATGATTTTAATGTACACATATACCTTTCAGGAGGATACATCCATCGATTTTGAACTGGACCTCCCAACCTTACCTCATTTGCCAAATGAATAGGCAAAATGAATCATTATATCAAAAAAAGTTGGAGGAAAAATTCTTTCCAATTGATTCGTTGTTTCTCTAATCTCTACTTCCAAGCAATCTAGCTCTTCCATTGTGATAACTTTTTGACATAAACGACGAAAGAAAGAACTTAGACGAATCAAAGGGATAGCAACATGATCAGGAAGTATGCTTTTAACTGGTATTGGCAACAAGTAATGTAACATGAAGTGTGCATCATGGGTTTTATAACCGGATAATTTTCTTTCATCTAGCTGCACACACCTGGATATGTTGGAAGCACTACCATCAGGTAGCTTTGCTGTCTTTAAAACACCACAGAAAACTGATTTTTCACCATTGGTCATTGAGAAGCATGCTTTTGCAAACTTTTTTCTCTTGCCATCCTTTGTATCCTTTGGTTGATGGTTCTTCCTAATGCCCATCTCTTTCAGATCATAACGAGCATTTGCATGATCCTTTGTCTTCCAGAAATGTCCAAAAGAGTTCCAATTACATTATCCACTATATTTTTCTCTATATGCATTACGTCAAGGTTATGACGTAACGAGTTGTGCTGCCAATAAGGTAATTCAAAAAAAATTGACCTTTTTTTCCAAGGGCCATCATTTGTTCTCTTTCGCTTCTTCCCAAACACATTGTTAAAATTCTGTAAGCTATTAAGCACATCAGTTCCCTTTAACAAAGGCGGAGGAGGCCTAAATTCTATTTTTCCATTGAAAGACCTTTTATTAGATCTCCAAGGATGATCCATAGGCAGAAAAACACGATGATCCATATAACACATTTTTCGACTATGTTTAAGATAACGAGAATTAGTGCCATAATTACAACAAGGGCAAGCCAACTTTCCCTTTGTACTCCAACCGGATAACATAGCATATGCAGGAAAGTCACTGATTGTCCATAAAAGAGCTGCTCGCATTTGAAAGGTTTGATCTCTTGAAGCATCATATGTTTCTACCCCGGACTCCCACAAAACATTTAACTCTTCTATTAATGGTTGTAAATAAACGTCAATGTCATTTCCAGGTGATCGTGGCCCAGGTATAAGCAAAGAAAGCATACAGTACTCTGGCTTCATGCACATCCAAGGAGGCAAATTATACACCATTAAAATAACTGGCCATGTGCTATGAGATATGCTCATGGTCCGAAATGGATTGAACCCATCACTTGCTAAGCCAAGTCTCAAATTGCGAGAATCCCTTGCAAATTCTGAATGCAAGCTATCAAAGTCTTTCCATGCTTGCCCATCAGCAGGATGCCTTAACTTTCCATCTTTAGAACGCTCCTCGTCATGCCACCTCAATGTATCTGCTGTCTTTGAGCACATAAATAGCCTTTTAAGTCTAGGAATTAATGGAAAGTGTCTCAAAATTTTCGCTGGAACACGATAACCTTTTTTGGAAGCCTCAAGATCGCTATCTACTTCATCGCTATCTACTTCAGGATATTTAATATATCGAGAAGCTCCACAGACATGACAATATTCATCATCCTTATGGTCATTCCTAAATAGCATGCAATCATTGGGACATGCATCAATTTTTTCATAATCAAGACCGAGATCCTTTACCATAGATTTGGCTTTATTGTAGGATATAGGAATGTTCAAGTCAGGCATCGCCTCTTTTAATAGCTCTAAAAGAGAAGTGAAAGACGCATTGCTCCATCCATGTAGACACTTCAACAAATAGAGACGGATTGTAAAAGATAATCTAGAGAATCCATTACAACCCGGATATAGTTCTTGGCTTGCCTCGTCAACTAAGTTATAAAATTTATTGGCATCTTCATTTGGGCCTTCATACACTCCTTCAACATGTGCAGCATTTCTAAATTGATCATTCAACAACCCATCAATATCATCGTACGAGCAAACATTATCATCCATGTCACAATTAACATTCATCGAAATTTCTTATTCCCCGTGATTAATCCATCTTGTATAACCTTGAACAAACCCATAACATATTAGATGATCATAAACTACATTCCTTCGAGTCCAATGAATATTACAACACTTTGCACATGGGCATTGAATTTCTTTGCCTTGAGGATCTCCATAAGAGTAAGAAAAATCTAAGAAAGATTGAACACCCTCGATATACTCTTTGCTATACCTTGGTAAATCCATCCATTCCTTGGATGGAACATTTGAATTCCTAAAAATAAAATTTATTAGATCTTCAAATATATAATCATTTAAGCATTGACTATAAAATAAATCCGAAACGTCAAGAGTGAATTTGAAAACTAATGCATTATAAACTAATATGACTTTCTTACCTAGTCATAACACTTATGCTAAGCGAACCCAACTTCAAGTCCACCACAGATCTACGTGAGCGTGACCAATCTTCTTGGAGAAAAGGAGTAAAATTAATAGGATCCACAGAACAACGACAACAAGTAATAAAATTATAAAAACCAAGTTTTTCATGAAGGTAATATAATAATTTTACGCACAAAAAAGTGTCATGAGCATATTGGCAAGTATAATGACACCTAAAAGGTGTATTTTACGTATAAAGATTAAATAAAAAAAAAAGAAGTTAAGATATAAATATCTAACTAGCTATTTATGATTTCATCAACTCTAAAGAAGAAACTCAAGAACTAGCCATATTTTGAAATTACTAAAAGAAAGCTTTGGACATAAAGGGAACCATTTATCCTGACAACTTGAAGTCATCTTTAAAGTCATCTTTAACAAGTTCCTGTTAGTAACTCTTGATACAATGCAAACTCTATTAAATGCAACTAGGAATTGAAAATTTGGTCTGCACTTTCACAAATGGTTATGCCTGTTAAACATCTCCTTGAGCTTATAATATTTCCCAAACTGGAAACCAATCTTCTCTCGGAGGTATAAAATTTACTTTTAGTTATTTAAGTACTAAATACTACTAAAACAATTAACAAAGGCATACATATGCTAAATCTTGAAGGGTTATACAACTCGCAACCATACCGGTAATTGCAACTAATATATTACTTCAAAGAACATAATATATTAACATATAATAGCATCCTTGAGCATAGTTCCTGCCTGAATCATAACCAACATTTACAAGGAACTATGCAAATATGAGAGAAATTGCGGAACAAGAAGTTTCTAGGCCGTCATTGTGAGTTCAATCAAAACACCAAGAACAGCAGGGCAACTAAACCGAATAAGATCATTGATGAGTAGCAACGAGCAAGAAAACATAGACTTTTTCTGATAAAAGAGAGAAAATATGGATTAAACAGCACTTGATGCATTAATAGACAGTTTCACTTTTCTTAATAAGGCAGAAGAAGGTATTTATTCCCAGATTCATTGGGGAAAGAAAGAGGATTACATGTATGAATTTCGACTTTCTTGCATGCGTATACATACACAAAATTAAGTCTCTTAAATAGTTTGGTAGTAGTTACAGCATTCATTCTGCACTATTCCCCCGCGGTCCCTACATGTTCCCTACCTTCACTATTATTTCTTCAACTTCTAAGCTTTAAATCATTAAGTCCATAATTGACCGCTAAAAAACGTGTAACAAAAAGGTGATCTAATGTTAATATAAATGGAACATAAAAACTATTGGTCACGAATAACTTGTCCATTTGAGAGAAATACGGTGTTGAATGCTAAATCAGATTTAGGAAAGGGAAATTATTTCATCCCATGAAGCTGCGTAAAGGGAAGATGACACAAAGGACTCAGTTTAAAAAAGAGGGCACAGAAAAACAGGTTGATAGATCTGTCTATTAACTGCCTTCTTGCAAAAGGTGGTGAAACCAAATTAGTTGGTCTTGCCTCCTCTCCGGATTAGTCCCCTACGGTGTAAGGTTGGATGTGGAACAAAATTTCACTTTAAAATCTAAAGGCTCAGATTTAATAACTTAACATTAACTAGTAACTATATTTAGGAAGCCAAAACCTTTCAAATTTACAACTCTTCTTAGACAAATTTAGCCACTACATATTCCTTTATATTCCTCCTACTACCCTCCCCCCCCCCCCCCTTCCCCCTCTTCAGCTTATGTAGTTAAACCCCTCTATACAATCAATCACAAATAGTTACACCCATGCGCATAGACCACCCATATACTTCAGAATTTCTTTTCTCAGGCAACTTGGTTTTTGATTCTCGATAGAAATTCAACTGGAGAACCTCAAATTTTGGGGAAAATTTACTCTTTAACTATAGTCGCATATATTGTTTAGTTAACCAAAACTGAGCCTTTAGGTTTTAAAATGGATATATGTTCTAGGGGCCGAGTCCAACGTAGTCACACCAAGACAAATGAAAGAGAGCCATACGACACTAACTAACCTTAGTAACCTAAATTGATTTTAACCATTTAGTCATCTAAACGGAACATTACCATTACAAACAACCCAAAAAAAGAATAAACAGAGCTCTTCAGTCCAAAATTACTTCAAGCAACATAATATATTAACATACAATAGCTAAAGTTAGCAGCTTGCAGAACAATAACAAGTTAGGACATACTGGGAACATAAGCAGAATAAATTTTCAGATGTTCATTCATGGATCACAATTGAATCATGGATGAGAATAGGCACAACAAACACAATTTCGAGGTGCTGGGCAGTGTTTTCACAGCAGATAATCTGTGACGACCCGGCCGGTCGTCCTAAGAATTAACGCCCCGATCCCCTATTAACTGCTTCCCCTAAGTTCATTTTTGCTATTTTGGCTTGCCGGGACGTTCGGTGTTGAGTTTCGTAGAGTTTTGGGACACTTAGTCCCTAAATGAGAGCTTAAGTGTTGAAGAACGGTCCGTAGTCGGAACAGTGTGAAGACGACCTCGGAATGGAAATCCAATGGTTCCGTTACCTCCGTTAGGTGATTTCTGGGTTGGGAGCGTGTTCGGAATGTATTTTGGAAGTCCGTAGCTCATTTAGGCTTGAAATGCCGAAGGTTGAATTTTTTGAAGTTTCCGGTCCGATAGTGAATTTTTGATCCGAGGGCCGAAATAGAATTCCGGAAGTTGCAGTAGCTCCGTCGTGTCATTTGGGATGTGTGTGCAAAATTTCAGGTCATTCGGACGTGTTTTGGTTAGGTTTTTGATCGAAAATGTATTTTTATGGAATTTGAAGTTCTTAGGCTCAAATCATTGATTAATTCGACTTTCCGACGTTGTTTTAGGTGGTTTAAGGGTTGGTACAAGTTTGAATGAGGTATTAGGTGCTATTGGTTCTTTGGTTGAGGTCCCGGGGGCCTCGGGATGATTTCGGGTGGTTAACGGAAGAATTTTTGAAGTGTTGCACAGCTGGTTTTTCTCTCTTCTGGTATTTTCGCTTCTGCGGCTTGGGAACCGCAGAAGCGGAGCCACAGAAGCGGCCTGGTCATCGCAGGAGCGGCCTCGCATCTGCGAGAAAGAGAACCGCAGATGCAGAAACTTGGACTTTTATTAGAACCGCAGAAGCGGCTTAAATTCCGCAGAAGCGGAACCGCATAAGCGGTTAATGGTCCGCAGAAGCGGACATTGGCTCTTTAGTGAAAGTCGCAGAAGCGACTCATTTTCCGCATAAGCGGGACCGCAGAAGCGGTCCCTTGTCCACAGAAGCGGAGATGCCTGTTCTGATATAGAAAATTCGAGGGTTTGATTTCATAAGTTAGAAAAACCAAATTGAGCTCGGGCAAGGGCGATTTTCAGAGGGTTTTGAAGAGAAGACTATTGGGTAACGTTTCTTTAATCCCTTCTAGTTATATTTCATCATTTTGTAGTTAAATTCATCCTTTAAATTCGAATTTGGGATCAAAAATTGGAAGAAATTGGGCAAAACTTCATAGGCTAAACCATTGAGTTTTGAGTGAGCATTTGACCTCCGATTTGGGAGATTTTTATATGGTTAGACTCGTGAGAGTACGAGGTTTCTGAAAACTGTGAANACTGGTGGAGGCGGATGAAGAAAGATATAGTTGGTTATGTGTCTAGATGCCTCAACTGCCAGCAGGTGAAATATGAGCACCGGCGACCGGGTGGGTTGCTTCAGCAGATAGAGATTCCGGAGTGGAAATGGGAGCGCATCACCATGGACTTCATATCGGGACTCCCACGGACCTTGAATAAGTTTGATGCCATTTGGGTCATTGTGGATCGACTGACCAAGTCCGCTCATTTTATTCCTGTGTGTACCACTTATTCATCGGAGCGGTTGGCGGAGATTTATATTCGGGAGATCGTTCGTCTGCATGGTATTCCAGTTCTATCATTTCGGACAGAGGTACCCAGTTTACATCGCGGTTCTGGAGAGCCGTGCAGCAGGAGTTAGGCACTCGGGTGGAGTTGAGCACAGCATTTCACCCCCAGGTGGATGGACAGTCCGAGCGCACTATTCAGATACTTGAGGATATGCTCCGTGCGTGTGTGATTGAGTTTGGAGGGTCTTGGGATCATTTCTTGCCTTTGGCGGAGTTTGCTTACAACAACAGCTATCAGTTCATTTTTCCCCTAAGTTCATTTTTGCTATTTTGGCTTGCCGGGACGTTCGGTGTTGAGTTTCGTAGAGTTTTGGGACACTTAGTCCCTAAATGAGAGCTTAAGTGTTGAAGAACGGTCCGTAGTCGGAACAGTGTGAAGACGACCTCGGAATGGAAATCCAATGGTTCCGTTACCTCCGTTAGGTGATTTCGGGGTTGGGAGCGTGTTCGGAATGTATCTTGGAAGTCCGTAGCTCATTTAGGCTTGAAATGCCGAAGGTTGAATTTTTTGAAGTTTCCGGTCCGATAGTGAATTTTTGATCTGAGGGCCGGAATGAAATTCCGGAAGTTGCAGTAGCTCCGTCGTGTCATTTGGGATGTGTGTGCAAAATTTCAGGTCATTCGGACGTGTTTTGGTTAGGTTTTTGATCGAAAATGCATTTTAATGGAATTT